GGCATGCTTCACAGTTCTTAGCAGTTCGACCAATGTCTTCATCTAGACCGAGCCACCAACATATCTGTCTTGCCAACGACTTCATCTTCTTCACCCCTAGGTGGCCTTTGTGTAGGTCTTCTAGCACAGCCTTGCGTAACGGAGGTGGGATAATCAGTCGATCGTTGCGGCATAGCATTCCGTCAGGTTGGATACTGATTTCCTCACGCTGTGCATAGAAAGCTGCGAACGTCCGTTTCAGGTCGGGACGCCATCCTTTTGATGAAGCCGTTACGATTTCTGCATAGCATCTTTTGGTACATTGGCGCAACTCCTCTCGGGATACCGGGGCAGCAGTAGCAATGAAATGACACTTCTTACCCTCCGAGAATTTGGACCACCGCGAGAGAAAATCGGCCTGGGGAATTTCTTTACCCGGACGGTGCACTATGTCGTAGTCGTACGCAGCCAATGCAATGCTCCATCGCTGAATCATCGCCGCCGTCGGTTTTGAGATCGACTTTTGTGGACTGAATAAATATTGCAACGTTTGATGGTCGGGTACGATGGTGAACCGCAATCCAAACAGGTATTTGTGTAGGCGACGGACGGCCGAATATACGGCTAGTGCTTCTTTTTGCGTCTGCGAAAATCCACGTTCTGCTTTGTTGAGTAGAAAGGAGATGCAGACAATTGGACATCCGTTCTGTTCGAGGACGGCACCAACACCAACATCTGATGCGTCGGTGATCAGAGTTGGACGTTTTGTCGGAGAGAACGAGGCGAGTAATGGTCGGTCAGTTATCATATGAATGACCTCACGCAGAGTTTGTTCGCACTCGGTAGTCTATTTCCAGTCCGCAGTCGACTGAGCAGCAAACAGTGGTTTGGCTTTTGTGGCGAAGTTAGGGTTGAAACGCGAATAGTATTAGAGACATCCCGTTATGGATCGAAGTTAGTTTTGATCTCTTGGTGACTCGAGTTCGGTCAATGGGCGGAAGCGACTTGGATCAGGACGATAGCTTTTAGCATCTACTGTGAAACCCAAGAATTCCAATTCTGGTGAGCTGAACATGCATTTGGAGGCGCAAATTGACACGTTCTTTTAGGCGAACCGCTCCAGTAGTTTGAGAAGTCTATCATCATGCTCGGCCTTCGTTGTGCCAAATACAACGACATCGTCCTGGTACGCTAACACGCCATCGAGTCCACGGATGACTTCGTCAATTGCAGACTGAAATATGCCGGAGGATGTGTGGAGACCAAACGGTAGGAAGTTGTATTGATACACTCCCCATGGTGTGTTAATGGTAGTGAAATGCCGGCAGTTTGGTGCGAGTGGAATCTGGAGGTATGCATCGGCCAAATAAAACTTCGAGAAGCATGTACTGCCGCGCAATGCTTTCATGAAATCCTCCGGTTCCATGGTGGCAGCCGCACACTTTCGCAGCCGGGGGTTGAGTGTTAGTCTGTAGTCACTACAAATTCTTGGTGTCTTACCAGCACTTTTCATTGCGATCACAATTGGTGTTGCCCACGCACTGGATGTTACTCGAGTCAGGATGCCGTCGTGCTCCATTTTCTCCAGAGCTTTCAATACACCTTCACGCTGACCATAGGGGATGACACGGCGCTTCAAAAAGACAGGTTCTCCCTCAACTTCCAGTTTGACCAGTCGAACTCCCATGCCTCCTTTGTTATTTGAACATTGCACAATCAGTCGCTGTAGACGGGTGTGCACATTTGGCAGGGAACTCGTATGGAGCGACATAGAATGGTTCAGAGCGCGAATTTCAGTTAGGTCAAGTATGGATGAATAGTGTTTTGCAATAAGGAAGCGGATTGGGACAAAACGATTTTCTGTTGAGTGAACCGTCAATGAAACCTCGCCGATCAATGGTAATTGGTGTCCAATTACACCAAGAATTCGCATGGATGTCGGTTGGATTTCTGCTTGGGGG